CGAATGTTTTGAAAAATGATGATTTTCCGAAAAGATATGAAAATCGTGACAAGGTTTTAATTATCATGAGGTACTAAACCATATTTAAAATTTTTATTGTTAAAGTTTTTGTTGAAAAAATTGTATGTTGATAGATTATTTATGCAAAAAAAGGCATGTTATTATATTTTTAATGCAAAACTGTATTTTTTTAATCTGTTATTAATGCATTTTTTAGTTGGAATGACTAATGTTAGGTGGCTCTGTGAAGAATTGTTTTTATTATTAATTTTTTAATGCAAAAAATGTATGTTCTTGATAATTGAGTTGTAGCCATGTTTGGAGCTTGCATTTTATATTATATTATCCTGAATGTTTGTAATTGATATGTACGAAAAAAAATTTGTCAATAGAGGTATTTTGCAATAACAAATGACAACAAATATGACTACATGAACTACCCCAACATATTATCACTACACATTGTGATTATTTTTCTTGTTGAACTATCAGGTTAATTTTTAACTTTTTACATCTTAAAACTGTTGAATCATGTCAAGAACTGCAGAAGACCCTGCATGGCAACATGGGGTCAGACTTGATCCCAACAAAAAAGACAAAATTATTTGTAATTACTGTCAAATAGTGATAAGTAGTGGGGTACATAGGTTCAAGAACCACTTGGCAAGGGTTAAGGAAGATGTTTCTGCATGCACTAGTGTCCCTAGTAATGTAAAAAAACAGATGGCGGCAATTCTTAATGCTAACAAAGGTAAAAAAATTGCCAAACATAGGATGAATAAGGAGATAGCTAGTTTATATACGCCATCAAGCAGGAATGATACAAAAGAGCAATATAATAATGACCTAGAAGAGCAATATAATAATGACCTGGATATGGCCACAAGATTGAGTTTACATGAACAATATCAGAGGGAACGTGGGTTTAGAATGCCCGGTGGGTCTAGCTCAGACATGCATGGTGGGCCTAGCTCTGACATGCATGGCGGGCTCAGCTTGAGCATGTATAGCAAGCCCAACTCAAATATGTATGGAGGGGTTGGTGGCAATATGTATCAAAGAGAATCAGATGTTGAAGAAATTGTTTCTAGGTTACCTAGGAGTGCCAGTATTGCAGGTCATAGTCGTAAAATACCCATTTCTCTCAAAGCTTAAGTCACAACAGATGACCCTAAAAAGCATGGTTAAAGGTACAAGAAACATGTTAGGGAGATATATTGGTAAATGTATCTACGATAAAGGGATTCCCTTTGATGCAGCCAATAGCCCATATTTTCTACCTATGGTGAGTGCAATCTAAAGAGTAGGGCCCGTAGTAAAACCCCCGATAACATATGAGCTCAGTGGGCTAATATTAGTTGAAGACGTAGAGGAAGTTATAAAGTGGATTGAAGAATATAAACAGAGTTGGCCAAGGACAGGCATTACTCTCATGAGTGATGGTTGGTTGAATAAAGTTAGCAAAAAGGAGTTTTTAAACTTCTTGGCCTATTCCCCAAAAAGTACAGTTTTTTTGTCTAGCAAAGAAGTATCAGGGACAAAGAAGGATGTAAACTTCTACATACGACTATATGATCAGATAGTGGAGGAGGTGGGAGATATGCATGTAGTCCAATTTATTACGTACAATGCGCGTGCATGTGTTTCTGCGAGCAGTAAGTTGATGGATAAGAGGAAGCATCTAGTATGGACCCTGTGTGCTGCACACAACATCAATCTTATGTTAGAGGAGATCGGTGAGATCAAAATTGTGAAGGAGACTCTAGAGGAAGCAAGGTTGGTGTCGAGATTTATATACAACCACTATAAAATTTTATTTCTGTTTAGATAACACTCTAAGAAAAAATAGATAATCAGGTCTTCCATAACCCGCTTTGCGACCGACTTAGTTGTGGACTCCATTCGAGAATCTGAAGATGCATTAAAGAGATTGTTTACCTATGAAGAGTGGTTAAATGACCTCCTTTCGAAGTCCAGTACTGGTATAAAAGTGGACAACAGAGTCTCAAATAGTCGGTTCTGGTCTCGATGTTCCAGTGTTGTAGAGGCCACTGCCCCTTTGTTCATTGTGTTAAGAATGGTGGATGCTGACAAGAAAGCTACCATGGGTATCCTTTATGAAGGTATTGAGAGGGCGAAATCAACTATTGGGGAGAAGTGTAGTTTTGCTAACAAAGTGATCGAGATTATAGAAAAGAAGTGGAACACCAAATTTGGACGTCCAATTCATTATGCTGGTAAATATATATTTATATCATTACAATGTTTCATTTTAAATCATTTTTTTATGAAATTGTAAATGACATTTTTCTATCTATATATTTTGTAGGTTACTACTTCAACCCAAAATTTTTCTATTTGACACATGAATATCCCCACAAGAATATGAAAGGGGTCTGATACATTATTGCAAGGTTGGAGAGACGCCATCGAAACCAAGTAGCAGCAATACAAGAGGTATTATTTAATGTTTGGGTAGGAACTTCATTGAGTTGTTATATTTGTGAGGAATAATGCACTAAAACGTAATATATTTGTTTTAGCTTGCTATGTATAGGGATGCTATAGGATCCTTCGAAACTATACTTGACAGGAATTCTCGAACTATGATGAATCCAGGTTATCCCCTCGCTAATAATTTGTTCATTCATATATTTAATCTTATGAATTGTTCTTGCCCTTACAATGCTTTTTGCATTTTAATCCAGCTGAATGGTGGGAGATATATGGTACTGATGCACCACACTTAAAGAGGATAGCAATCAAGGTGCTCTCCCAGACATGTTCTGTTATTGGCTGTGAACGCAACTAGAGTACGTTCCAATGGTTGCACACTACTAGAAGGAATCAACGTGCTTCTGAGAAGCTTCATAAACTAGTGTACGTTCGTTATAATTTAAACCTCTGAGAGCGACAAATAAGAAGGAAGCTTGAAGACTATGGGCCGATAGACTTAGACACAATATTTGTCACAAACACAACAGACTAATAGGTAGTAGAAGAGGAGTCAGTGTTGGACAAGAGAGCGTTCCTTGAAGCTATCGGTGAGGATGATCTTGAAGAAGGTGATGAGCAGCATGAAAGAGGAAGCAGTCAGCCAACGTATCCACAATTCGTCGAAGATGTCGGTGATATTGCACCTAATGAGGGAGAGTGGGAAGGGGATCTGAGAGAAATTGAGAGAGACGATGATTCTGAGGCCACCCTATCCCAGCCATATTATTCACATATCGAGTCCCAACAGCAACAGTGTAGGGAGTACACGACAGTGTAGGTGAGCATGAAGGATGGACAAGCTTCGGGGATTTTGGATTGGGAACACAACAAAACACTAACACTCAGGGATTTGGGTATAGTCAGACGCCTGTTAATATCAATGATTCGTTTTTAGATCGAATCAATGAATTGTCAAACGAATTCAATCAATGGCACCAGCGTGACTAAGAAGAACAACAACGTCGTCTGTCATTTTATTTTTATATCGTATGTTACTAATTGTATGCTTTATTGTAGTCCATGTACGTTGATATACTTATTCCATGATAATTCTATGTTTATCCTTTTGTGTGATGTAAATTAAATGCTGAATAGTAGTTCATACAGGGAAAGAACATATCAATATTCGCATATTCATACAAAAACATGAAAATTCTTAATGGAGTACCCTCATTTCTTATTGAATTCCTAAAAAAAAATATTTATAATAAATTTTAATAATTTTTTCGGATTTTTTTGAAACTTTATTCTGACCGATTCACTCGATTCCCGATCCAGATCGCCGATTCACCTATCCGGATCGTTTTTTGAAGTGCCCTATCCGGGTCACCGATCCACTTTTTAAACGAAGCAACTTTTTGAAAGTTTAGAACTTCTAAGTTTTGTGTTTGATAACAATTTTGAACTTCAAACAAAACTTCTAGGAACCGTACAAGTTCCAACCTTGCGTTAAAACAAAGGTTCCAACCAAGGGATGGAACTCAAAATTGGAACTTTATTTTTGTGAGCCCTGCCCGATAATCCTAGCTCCATTTCGCAGACCAGAAGCAAGTCCACCGCCGCCATCTTCAGGTTCGACCTCTCTCTCCAGGCTGTGTCTCCGCCATCTCTCATAACTATCGGTTCACAGATAGCCCTCCGTCCGCCATCTCTCACACAGGTTCGAGCTCTCTCTTCGCCATCTGTCAACGAGCTCACGGTTCGCAGATAGCCCTCCATCCGCCTCTCTCACACAGGTTCTTTGGTTTCTATTGATTATTGAAAATGGAGTTTTTCTTTGATTCTCAGAGATAGATTTTTTTGGCCTAGAGAGAGAGATTCATTTGGCCTAGAGAGAGAGAATCAATTGGCCTAGAGAGAGAGAGAGAATCGTTTGAACTGAGCACAAATTTGGGCTCCCCATGTTTTTTTTTTCCTATATACCTATTTCTCTTGCTCGAAAAATTAGTGTTTCTGCGAAGATATTCTAAGATCTTGTGATATTGAAAAAGCTAGGTCTTGTGTTCGCAGGAACCCTTAGATTTGAAGTTTTTATTTTGTGCGACTGTTATGTAGTTAATTTATGGCGTTGGTTTTGGAGGGATTTGGAAGTTGTAGAGGGTTTGATTATTTCCATCTCTCTTGAGATTCATGAAATTTCGTTCTGAATTTTTTGTTTGGCTTCTTTTTTTTTTTGGTTCATCTTTTGTTTGAGGGATTTGCGTTGTTTCTTTTTGCAAATAGAATTATAAGAGAATTATAAGGGGTGGCCTTATAGTTTTGGCGTATCAATTTCTGTGTTTGAACTTCATGGTAAGTGTTTTGGAGATGCATGCTAAAAATGTTGTGTCTGAACTTCATGGTAAGTGTTTGTTATCATTTTTTTTAGTGCTAAAAATGCTTGATTTGGTTTATCATCTGTGGGAGAAATTCTGTTGCCCATATTATAGAATCATAAGGTTTCCTTAACTCTTTTTTTTTTTGCATTATTCTGTTTTCCTGTGTTTATTTGTTAATCATTTGATTTTGTGGGTTCCTTCTCCATGGTCATACTTTTTTGTAGAATCCCGAAATGTAAAATTGTGAATTTTGGCAAAAGCCCTAACTTTCATTGGACTGGTGTTGTAATTTTTGCTTACCATTTTGAGTTATTGTTATTTGCTTACCATTTTGTTTTCATAGGAAAGTAGCGTGATGAAACAATGTTTTTATTCGTATTGAATAATAATCCTCGTGAGCTTTTTTTTTTTTTTTTTGGATCTAAAGTCATTTATCGTAGTCCATTGCTTGTTGGTGGAATTTCCACTTTGCCATAGATAAGCAGAGACTTTTAGTTTAAGTTATTAAAGCCCCCATGACTGATCATCTTTGTCTAGGCATTCCTTGATTTTGTTTTATGTTTTCATTTCTACTGTTTAGTTCACACTTTGTTGTGTTTGCTAAGAACTGTGATTGGAATAGTTGCGGCCTAAGACTGGAGCAATTTTTGTTTGAGCAATCCACATTTTAATTTTGTTGGTTTCTTATACAGTGAGGGTACACTTGTGTTTGCTAAGGGCACCCTCTTTCCCTTATCATTGCAAAGCACAAATGCGAACTTCAAAGATGTGAAGTGAATATCATAGACTCTCAAAACTGAGTGAACTTGATACTCCTTACTCACAAGCTGCCCATTCATGAGCCTATATATGAGAGAGAAGTATTTCCTTTATTTTGGAAAAGATAGATATTGAGTGGGTCGCCTTACCTTTAAAAAAAAAGTTCCGACCTATGGGTCGAAACTCAAAATTGGAACTTTTTTTATGAGACCCCCCGATAACCCTATTTCATCTTTTCGTAGATAAACAGAGAAGCAATTCGCAGAGCCCTCCTCCATCTCTCACAAGAGCCTCCTCTCTGCCATCTCACCGCCATCCCCTCTCTCTGCCATCTCTTAAAAGCACTAGTTCTTCTTTGAGAAGCAGTTCGCAGAGAGCTCTTTCTCCGTCATCTCTCACACAAAGAGCTCGAAATATATATTTTTGGAGAAATCATCAGTAAGTAGAACTTCATTCTGAGCTTTTTCGAGTCATCAACCTCCCACTCTCCATTAACAGGTATGGGTTTTTTTTGTTTTTTTTCTACATACCTAATTCTCTTGCTCGAAAAATTAGGGTTTTTCTGCGTATCATTTTATTTAGTGCTAAATTTGTCTCTAACTGATTGTTCAAAATAATATTAGGGCTTTTGATGCATTTAAGTTATTGATGCATATGTTGTATGATTCCATTTTTTTTCCTTGAATTTTATGTCATTCCTTTCCATATTTTAGGGGGGAAAAACATTATTGCGTAGATCTTTTTTAATATCATACTATTAAGGCTTTTGATGCATTATCTTTTTTAATCATTTGTGTAGTTCTATGGGCTTTCTATTTCTTTATTATTTACGCAATACTGGTTTTTATTTTCTTGGTTTGAGTTTTTCAATTCATTCTCTGAACAGTGGTTTGTTTTGCTATCGTGATATACAATAATAAATGTTGATGAATGACTGATTATATAGAATATAATAGATCTGTTATTTCCCTATAATAGGACGGACCCACACATGTCATCAAGCATAATGAATGAGAATATAGGATCCAAAAGGAACTTGCAATTGACACAAGCAGAAGAAGATTATTTCATTGAACTTATGGAGAAGGAGACCAGGGCTGTAGGGAACACGGGGGAGGGGGTTTAAAAAAGGTGTCTGGAAACGGATGGTAGAAGCAATGACAATTAAATATGGGCCAGTAAACAAGGAAAGTAGGTGAAGGAGCAAGCACAAGTTCTTCAGAAACATGTACAATAACATAAAAAAACTTATGGCTGTATCCGGATTTGGATGGGATGAAAATAAGAGAATAGCAACCGTCGAGAGTGCTGTTTGGAATGACTTCTTAGCGGTATGTAATTACTCATTTGCATAGGCTTTTAAAATGTTGAATACGTTTAAATATGAATATCGTTAAAAATAATTTATGATCTTTCATATGCAAGCGAATGATTGGGCCAATAAATATCATAACAAGACTTTGCCTGAATTTTCGCTGCTAAGTAAGATCTATGAGGGCAGCACAGTAGATGAGACTTACAAATTTACTGGGGGTGGCATTAGAATTGAGCCAGAAAGGCCCAACGCTGCATTATCTAATGACCCCCCTTTAGAAGTCCAAGTCAAATCTAGCTCATCCTTATCTGATGGCCTAGTATCATCTGGAACCAAAAGACGACAGTCCCAAACTTCGATAGGAACCCATCGTCGATTAAAGCAACCCACCTTCAATGACTCCATGACTGAAGCCATGACAAAGATGGCCAATACCATTGAGATGCTAGTACGTGACACCACAGGTAACAGTAGTGTGGTGGATGGTCCCAACGCTAGGAGAGAGGCCTTAAAGATTGTTGAAGGCATGTGGAGAGCAGGTGAAGTTGGTGATAATGTCCTTATAATGGCGGTAAGGATCTTCCAAGATTCTACAAAGGCGGAGATGTTAATACTTGGAGGATCGAAGGATGCAAAGGGCTTACTTGGATGAAGAGATGAAATGCCTCTAAATACTTGATTGACTATGTTTTCATTATGGATGTGGATGGCTTCTTTCATATTATGGTTTGATAAAGATTACTTTATGGTTTGCATTTTATAAATATGTATTGGATGAGTTCTTTCATTTGTATGTGGATGATTTCTTTCAATTTAATGTCAAAGGTTGCTGCATGTTTTTCTTTATGGATGTGGATGGCTTCTTTCATTTAATGGTTTGATTAAAGATTGTTTTAATGGTTTGCATCTTATAAATATGTATGTGGATGGCTTCTTTCGTTTTAATGTCAAAGATTGGTTTCATTTAATGGTTTGATTAAAGATTGCGTTAATGGTTTGCATCTTATAAATATGTATGTGGGTGGCTTCATTCATATAATAGTTTGGTTAAAGATTACTTTATGGTTGTGGATGTCTTCTTCCATTTCTAGTTATGGATCCCCAACGACGTCGGTTGACGGTAATATTACGTGCTGCATATACAATGTGTATTGGTATATCACTACGCAAAAGTGGAGAAAGCGTGTTCATACTTCAATTTTTTCTGGGCCCAATTATGTTCAATACTTGTTGTCAGGACACCCTCGTAAGTGCTTTGACCAGTTACGAATGGAAAGATGTGCTTTTATCAGTCCGTACAGTTTGTTAAAGGAGAGGACACACATTACAGATACAAGATATTTGGCAGTTGATGAGCAAATAGCCATATTTTTAAGCACCGTCACACACGATCAACAGAATAGGGTTCCAACATTCAGGGCAAACCATAAGTTACTATTTCCATAGAGTTTTACAAGCCATCTTAAAATTGGAACCCTTGTTCTTACAACCATCAAGCAATGAAACATCGGCCCACATTGTTGGTGTTACACTACGATTTTACCTATATTTCAAGGTATGCGAGTGTCAAGTAATTCACATTGGTGTTCTCACATCCACTGAGATCTAATATATAATAGTATGATTCTTTTATCTTAATAGGATTGTGTCGGAGCTATTGATGGGACTCATGTCCCTGCTCGAGTTCGTAGTCGATTGCATAATCGTTTTCGAAACAGAAAAGGTTTTCTAAGCCAGAATGTTATGGCTACGGTTGGTTTTGATATGCGTTTTCATTATGTACTTGCAGTTTGGGAAGGATCTGCATCAGATTCTAAAGTCCTATATGACGCAATTAGTAATGAACGCAGTAGGCTTGCAGTGCCTGAGGGTAACTCTATTCCTGCTTATGTTTCGTTGCTTAGGTCTATACAATATTTTTAGTGTAATATTTGGCCTTACAATATACTCATTGCACAAACATGGTACAATAAAATATTCCCTTGTAGATGGTGGGTATTCTACTATGCATGATTTCATAGGACCATATCGAAGAGTCCGTTACTATCTAAACGAATTTACTTCAGGCCCATGAACTCCTTAAAATCACAATGAGTTATTCAACAAGCGGCATTCTACGCTTAGAAATGTGGTGGAGAGGACATTTGGACTTTAGAAGACCAGATTTCCTGTACTCAAGAATCAAATGCAGTATCCTTTACGAACACAGGTCGATGTAGTTATTGCATGTGCACTATTGTACAACTAAATCATGATGATATGGGGAGCCGAAAGCAGAAGAGAGCTACGTTTTCGAAGGAGGGATGAGAGTCAACTCGTAATTAACGGAGGTGATGGTTTTTTGCAATTGACTAAGGGGCACGCTGATCATGATGTTGGCGTCAATCTGCGAGATGCCATGGCGACGCAGTTGTGAGAGGCCTACCTAAATCACTAGCATTTGTAATTAAACGTTGTTCTACATGTAATATGGACCTTATTTTGTAGCTACAAATATTGAGTCCTCGTCGAATGTTGTCTTCATTCTATTGCATTTTGAATTATGTATGGTTAAGCTATTACAAGTTATTGTTGAATGGGCTGGTTTTATACATAGTTTTCTTTATGGATGCATGAATTGTGAAGTTATTGTTGAATGGATTGGTTTTGTACATGGTTTTCTTTATGGATGCATGAATTGTGAATGTTGCTTGACATGCATCACAAATGTCTTAACATATAACATACAAATGTTGTGTGCCGTTATAATCTTAGTGAGTGAGAGAGAGCACACAAATGTTATGTGCATGACTTGTGAATGACGTATATTTTTTATGTGAATGATGCATATTTTTTAAGCTGGGATACGGATGCATCAGTGCTGAATGTAAGTAGTGCTCAAGTTATTATGGGTTATTCTTAAATGGGCAGATTTCTTGCTGCTTGCATTGTGCATGTGTGTTTGAATATTCAGTTTTTCGATTCGTTCTTGGAAGTGTGGTTTGTTTTGTTATGTTGACAGAGAATAATAGGATCTCCATGAATGATTTTTCCAATTAGGGAAAAGTGTTGCATATATTTGTTTTCTGACTGATTGTAAAAAATGAATGAAAATTATTTTCAAGAGAAAAATGAATAAAAATTAGCATGTTGAAACAATGATCATTGCAACTTCAACATGTATTAGTTCTTAGAAACCAAAATGCATTTTTATCATGTGGTATTAGTAGTGGACATATGAAAAATGTAACTCTTGCCAATGGGATGAAAACCGGCCTTTTATCTAATTCAATCCAGATACCCAGCTCTTCTTTAACTTTCCAGGAGGTTATCAAACACCGAAACCAGAAACTTTTTAACTTCTCAGGAGGTTATCAAACACAGAAACCAAGAACTTCTTAATTTATTAGGAGGTTATCAAATACAAAAATCAGGAACTTTTTAAGTTCATAGAACTTAAGAACTTCTAATTTACAGTTCTTAAAGAATCAAGAGAATAATATTGAACATGAGTATTCCTAGTTCCAAGTGAGACACACCGTATCAGCCAAATTACGTACCGATTTCAGATTCACAATTCATTATTTTATTGGAAACAGTGTTTAAAAGCCGGATCAGCACGGCATATCATCCACCCACACATCTGTATCAAAGTGTTAGATCGTCAATATGGATCGGGTTTTGATCGGTCGGAATTTAGTAATTCAAAAAACATTAAAACTAAAAAAAAATAATTGAAATTTAAGTAGAAGTCTTTGGGTTGAGGCATAAGGGGGGGACCTTGAAAAAACATTACATATACTTAAAAATAAAAAATGAAAAAACATGGGTTTTTACGGAAGAATACGGGCAGGACCTATACTATCCCAAAATCAGCTTGGTTGTGACTGATTCCCCTCTAAATTAGTGATTCATATGGAAAAGGTTGTGGTTTGTATAAGCCTGAGGCTCTAAACAATCAAAATAGGGTGTACCTTTAAATAGTGCGGAAATATGTTGTTTTAATATTAGGAATCTTTACTATGACTTAAAAAATTATTCTTTTCTCTAATAATAAAATTTAAAGTTAAAAAATTAGTGAAGATCTGACAGATCTATTAACGTTTAAAAATCTTGAAGTTGATGATTTAGATAAGGAGAAAGTTTATATAAGGTTGCAACCTTAAGACGTAGAATTAAAGATGCACCTAAAAAATCCATCAGAAAAGGTTGGTTTAATATTAAAAAACTCTCTAATTGATCATCTCCACATTGGGATGTGTGAATATGAAAAAAAAAGCAAAAAAAAAAGATTTTGAGTCCTAGAAGTAGTGCATCTTGCGACATATTATCTGGATTGTCCATGTTCAAGATTTTCATATGTTTATAGATCTATTAGATTTTAACAATTTTTTAAGTTTAAAATTTTATAATTAGATATAAAAATAGATTTTCACATAATCCTAAAAAACATTTACACGAAAATTACATGTACTTTGGTGGTACGCCTTAAATGGATTGTTTAAGGTTGCAACCGTATAGAAATCACACCCATTAGATAATACATTACAAGATAGACTATTTTCAATACTTGAAAACTTTGTTTTCTCATATCCATATATCTTGAGATTGAGATGATCAAATGGGCCAGAAAAGTATGGTAATCGGATTACCACCAATAAATGAAGAAAAGAAAACATGTGAAGGTTGTATTTATGGAAAATTACACATATTACCATTTTCAGAATTATCTTACAGAGATAAAGCTCCATTGGAATTGGTTCATGTTGATATTTATGGACCGACTCAAACAGAAACTTTCAATAAAAAAAGGTATTTTTTTCATGATTGTTTATGATTATAGCAAGATTATATGAGTATATTTCTTGACCCAAAAATTAGAAGCATTTTTAGTTTTTATTCAGTTTAAAAATGATGTAGAAAAACAAAGTCGTTTTCCATTAACAGCCTTGAGAACAAATAGAAGAAGAGAAATCACATCAACATAATTTTGGAATTTTTGCAAAAATAATGGAATTAGAAGAGAGTTAATAGCAGCATATACTCCACAAAAAAATATAGTAGAGCGAAAAAATAGGATAATTGTTAAAATGGCCCAAAGTATGTTAAAAGGTAAGCATCTTCCTAATAAATCGTTATTTATACTGTTGTCTATATTCTTAATAGGTCTCTTACTAAATCTCTTCTGAATAAAACACCTTTTGAGGCCTGGTATAAAAGAAAACTAAACGTATATTATTTCAAGGTATTTTGTTGTATTGCTTAGGGAAAAAGAACTTCTCAAAATATAGAAAAATTTGAAGAAAAAGGCGAAAAATATATCTTTATTGGATATAGTGAAGTTTCAAAAGCATTTCTCCTATTTAGTCCAAAAACAAATAAATTGGTAATTTCTAGAGATGTTGTATTTAATGAGAAAAATGAATGAAAATGGGGAAGAAAAATCTGGCCAAGAACCAATAGCACTAATAAAAGAAGAAGAAAGTACTCCACAAGAAAGAGCAAGCTCTTAACTACCACGCTCGATATCATGTCAAAGAACAACATCTCCAGGCACACCAAGTCAAGACTCATCAAACTCTGAGACACCACCAAGAAAGGTACATTCACTAACAAAAATTTATGAATCATGTGATATTGCTCTTTTTGCTAGTGAGACAGAAAAATTTGAAGAAGCCATAAGAAAAGAAGAATTGATAAAAGCCATGGATGAAGAAATAACAGAAATTGAGAAAAATCAAACATGGGAGCTAATGAAACCAACTGAGGACAAAGAAGTCATAGGACTAAAATAGGTCTATAAGACAAAATATAATGAAGGTTCAATTCAAAAACACAAAGCCCAGATGGTGGCAAAAGGCTATGCTCAACAACCAGTTCTGAACTATACTGAAACTTTTCCCTTAGTTGCACGAATATAAAGTATTAGAACTGTCTTAGTGTTAGCTGGACAAATGAGATTGCTAGTATTTTAGTTAGACGTAAAATCAGCATTTTTAAATGGAGAACTTGAAGAAGAAGTGAATGTTGAACAACTTCAAGGATTTGTGATAAAAGGAAAAGAAAATGAAGTATATCGACTTAAAAATAACTTATATAGATTGAAGAAGGCACCATGAGCATGGAAAAGTAGTTTTGACAAGCATTTTTCTCCCGAATGATTTGAGAGAAGTCTTAGTGAACCATCACTCTACATAAAAAACAAAGGTACGAATGATTTTTTAATAGTCTGTCTTTATGTTGACGATTTGATTAATACTTGTACTAACCAAAAGATGATAGAAGAATTTAAGAAAAGTATGATGAAGGACTTTGAAATGACGGATTTGGGCCTCATGAGATATTTTTTTTGGGGAGTGGGGGCAGCAGCAGCAACTCAAAGGAAGCTGTTCGTATATTGAATACAACCGATCATGTTGAACTCCCCATCAACAGGTACTCGGCGATTACCAATCTCGGCTTTTCCCTTGGATGCACTGCCGAGGTTCTCTACTCTCCCTGCTTGTTGGTTGGTTGAATACCTCCAATAAATTTATGAAAATTTCTTTCTAAAAATCATGATAAGAAACCTATGAATTGAAGGAGTTGACATTGGATTTTTTAGACTTATTTGAATACATAGGAATGCAAATCAAATAGGAGTGCTATTTACATGTACATATATGTAAACACATATTGTGATATGGATTGGTCTATATCAATCCCATATCTTGATAAAAAGATAGTGTGGTAGAAAGATTCATATAGTTCTTTCTACCGTACTATCTTTGCTATCTATATCCAGTTGATTCAATCGAATCAACCCATTTAAGACTTGGAATTGTAAGAATTAGAATCCCTTTCATTTCTTCAATCATTGATCATTGATAAGAACTAATAACTAAAGTTTCATTCAACACTTGTATTAAAAAGGATTCTTGGTTTCCTATCCCATGCTGAGAAAGTATCCATTCTTTGGTTCGAAATACTTTAATTGGTACGTGCAAGAAATAGGCCAATTAAACAACTTTTTGCTCAATTTATCGTGGAGTGAAATTTTCATCGGTACAAGTCAAGAAAATGGATCCTTGGCTTTTGATTTCAATAGAAAGGATACGGCGAGGATAAATACATTCTTTCACTTCCATTCTGATTGACTGAATATCTCTCATAAGAAATCGAAAGAAGATCCAACGATTTCTTCCAAAAAATCCCCAACGAAAAGATCGATCATAGGTTTTTTTTTTTTATTTCTCATTTTCCAAAGTGTTGTTTGTTCAATATGAACCAATCGAAAAAAGCATAGTGTGTTGGATTCAAAACTGCAAGTTCGGTACATGGTTCGTACCTAAATCTATGGGCTTTAGGGAAAAGCGAGAATTTTTTTTTGTTTTTTGTTTTTGTGAGAGTACATTATAGCTTAGTCCCTCGAATTAACAAATTTACATTAAAAAAAATAACAACTTTTTCTTTTTGAACCGCCCTGTGATTTGAAAGCTTATTGATTAAATTGTGCTTTTTACAAATGTAATTGGACACTATATTTTTTTATTTAAAATTTTAGGGTCCAATTTACAATCACTATATAATTACTTTCAAAAAGTAAAGTTTTGTATTTTGGAACTAAATAGGT